AGGGGACCTTGGCCGGGCCCCGCCCCGCTGCCAGTGCTGGGGGGGGGGGGCATGTTGATGGTGCTGCTCAGGGGCTCAGCATGGGGCAGGAGGTGCAGGACACGCCACCAGATGCTGTGTGATGTCTGCCTGTGCGCCTTTGGCTAATACCAATGCTCAGAGTTGTGATATTGAAGTGGCAGTAGGTCACCGGTTGGTCGAATGCAATGAAAAGCAAAGGCTGCCAGAAGTGTCAGATCTCACTTGGTTTCTTTTTCCGTTGCAAGGAAGATGCCTTTCACGATTGTATGTGTATTTATTAAGCCTCTTCAGAGTGATTTTTATTTTTAAGTAAATAAGCGGTAAGTGAATAGGTACTCCAACCCGAACATGTTTAAAAACTCGTAACCTCTTGTTTCTAAACATGGGTTCAAATCACAGAATTACAGGAATGGCAATGAACCAGAGATGCTAGTGCTGATAGAATGGGACCGTGCCGTAGCTTGCACACATTTATACAAGCTACCGAATCCGGAACACCGATTGACTTCTTCACTCTCTTTGTCTTCCGCAGGATGTTGCTAACTGGGCTGGTTGGCCAACACCTGTAAAGTACGGTTCATGCTGGGACCAGGGGTGAGGTGTGCGACTTCGTGAGTTATTAATTGAATGGCAAGTGGAACAGAAACGGGGAGTGCTAATGTGTTTGAACTGTTAACTCTGCAATGGAAATTAAAAGATAATGAATGTATGCTTTGGCTTCATCTTCCTACAAATATCGCTGCTGTGTAAAAATGGATTTTTACTAGCAGCAAGATTGCCTTTACTTTTGGCAGCTCTTTATTTTTGGGGGCACCATAGCCTGTCATCTGGAGGTTGTTGCCTTGCATACAAGTTGTGGGGGATTTTGTTTTGGAGAGGTAGTACGTGGTACAGGTCTGTAGGGAGAAGAAGTAAGTTTTGGAGCTCAGCACCTCTTCAATAGGTCTACAGCCTTGTCACTCCATGTGTTATAACTGTGACAGTTATGTTTTGGTTTTGCACCGCTTCTGTTAATAATATAGTTCGTCACCATTGTGAAAGTGGGTTT